TAGTAAGAGCATCACCAGCAATAAACGCCACACACACACACACACACACACATTTGAGGTACAAAAAAAATCCTTCATTATTTCCTAATATTTCAAAACATATCATATATACTGAACAAAATAAGGAATGGTCAATCAATACGTAAAGATCACATTGGGCAAAAACAAAGAAGAATGTCATAATGCATTTGCAAGAAGTATACCTCTTTATCTGTATTCTTCTATGTATTGGAACAACCAGGTCGTCAGGAAAAATTTAGTCTTCGTGTTCCTTTTGAAATAAACATTTGAAATGAACAGTTCATTACTACTTGGCAGAAGAATGTAAGACTCATACACGTTATTTCAATGCGTCTCTGTTGCGTATTTAAAACTAACTTTATTGAAAACAAGTTTTGCTCTCANTTTGAAATGGACCCCAACATTTTATTTACTACTGAATTTAGCAGAACAATTCAGCTAAGACAAGTTAATTGAACAGCAAGAATTATTTATTCTTTTGTGTACTTGAAGAAACAATATCACAAAAAATTTAGACTTTCCTCTCTTTTTGAAATAGATATTTATGTTTCATCATTATTTGACTTAAGAAACTGCATGAAATCAAGTAAACTGAACAGTAAGAATAGTGTGAACACTCCTAACAGCACATGATATTATTCGAATATTCGATTGTCATACTTTAAATATACGTTATATATATAATATACTGAGAACATTTCTATAAAATCTCTTGTAGTATATTATTTCTCGTTCATTCTTAAGATATACTGTAACGTTTCTTATAGTATATTATTTCTCGCATATTCTCAGAATATACTTTTGAATTACGCAAAGTTATCAGCAGATATGTGTGTAACAAATTATTGTGGATATACGTAAGTTTTGTTATTGCCGTTTGTTCACGGCTATCTCTTGTTGTGAATGGACAACGCACAATTAATACATTACAAAATATTTCAATACTTGTCCGCTAAAAAAACGTTTAAGACTTATTTACATAAAACAGACGCGGATAAGAGGTCTTGCGGAATTAACTTGTCACGTTGGTTACTTGGCTGATTTGATCAACGTGATTGGCTAATTCCGCGAGATCAGCAACGGCGTCTGCGTCTTATGTAGAATGGTCTTTAGTGTAATCCTGCGCATGCGGAATATTTTATTGTTTTNGTTAGCATCACGGACGCGTGCCGAAAGCCTTTGTGTAACCGTTGCGTATAGTTGCGTATAGCAGATCGTTCGGGAGNAAACTGAAGGAAAATTGGCCGTAACGATCGGACGTGCGTAGTTACGCAGTTTATATTTTTAGACAATTACGAGTGTATAGCACCTGTTTCTTTATTCTCAGTAGTTGCAATATTTTGGACACACGGTGCAACATACTGTGCGATGTGCTGGGTACAACAAAATCTGACTTCCTCTTTAAAATAGAATCGCACTCCATGACTACCTGCCAGCCTTNATCTAGTTTGGATGTCATGGCTCTGAGTCAGATCAATAAAAGGAACTGTAAGGCTTTAAATGCTGTTACTAATTAAAGTTTATATTCTATGCCGAAGAAATATCAAATTGTACTTCTACTAGAAAAACATCAGGTAAAAGACAAAATTTATTAAAATAAAATAAACTTGAGTATTTTTTAAATGTTTAAGCGTTTTACANACATTTCTTTTCAGATGGACTTAAACTGTGTTGTGAATCTGGACACAGATGATGTGCNTTGATTGATGCAAAAAAAGGTCTCTTTTTATATTGTGCTTCTAAATTTAAAANGCTCACTACAGTACGTGGTGTTAAACAAACATATCAGCTTTTATTACATCCTCACTTGGATCTAGCTTTAATGATAGCTAGTGAATACAGAGAATTAATGTACTGTAACTTAAAGCTACTTAAAAATAATGCTTTAGCTGCTGACTGTTCAAAACCAGCAATCAGTACAAAGAGTGTGTTATCAGCTCCTGATAGTTGCCATCTTTATTATCAGTTAAAAGATGAAATATTGTATGTCGCCACTGCATCTCATGTAATGTAAGAANTTTTTTATAATGCGCATATTTCATTTTATATAAAGTAATATAATTATTATAATAATATTTAATTGCGTATAATTTATTGTAATATGTACTTTTATGTAAATTATTATAATTATTATAATTATTATAATTATTTTTTATATTATTTATGTAGGTAACTTAAATGGAAAATTGGAGATTTTGAGGACAACTTTGTCATATTCCATCAAACTCAATCCTTTAAAACTGAAGAACCTTGCAGTCGCTCCATATTTACATCCAATTTCCTTATTAAAGGATGTCAAAAATTTTTACAAATTGATTTAAAAACTTATAATTGGTGAGAGAACATCAAATATATTACATACGATTTAAAGCTTTTTTATGTTTTTAACAATGACAGTAGATTTTTATGTACAATGTAGAATTTCCTGATGACGAAGCTAAACTTGGTATATTTCTTATTTGCATTTTACATAACTCGAACACATGTGACACAACTGAACTTTTACTGTTATAATGAATTTGATGTATTTGTGGATGAAAATGGCAGAAAAACTCTTGCTATTATGTCAATATGGAATCATTTACCTTTTGCTTTAGGTATGTATCATTTATGTAATTACACACATGAAATATACAAAAAAGAGTCTCATAAAATATGATATGTAGAGGATTATGAAATATANGATTATAAATATAAGATCATAAATCCAAGAGATTTAAATAGTATAATACTCATCTATAATATATCACATAAAATGTTACAAAGTATTTTTTTGTTCTACAATATAAGGANAGCAAAACAATTCTTTGTGTAACTTTTTAGTTTTATTAAAGCATTTGAAATAGAAGGTAACATCACGCCATCTGAAGGAAATATGAATGTAAAAAAAGCGTTTATTTAATTGTATTTTTTTACTACAATGACATATATATAAAGTTTAACATTTTTCTTCAATAATTTTTGTGTAATGAAACAATAGTAATATAACATATCGTCGTGTAATACACAACAGTAATATAAAATCTTTTGAGTTTTTATAATTTTTTCATTTTTGAAAGAATAGTTTGAAAGAGTTAAAAAAAATTATTTATTTTTTTAATAATGAAATGGAATTCAAGATAAAATTATAGATGTTTATTATTATTTTATTCACACACACACATATATATATACATATATGATAAATGTCCACAATTGCCTACACACTAACACATTTGTTCATTGAAAATAACTAACTAATTATAGACTATGAACAAATAAATCAAAAGGCCGATACGAGCAGTAAAATACAGGTTGGTCGTGTATAAAAAGTTGTCTTTATTCAATAAATAGACGTTTTGGTCACACAAGTTTGGACCTTTTTCAGTATGAAAAAGTTAAATTAAAGATTAAAGTCTAACAAGAAAAAATAAAAAATAAAAAAATTAACAATAAATAAAATAAGCGCACAGCAAACATCAGAGTAAATTAAAAGTAACATATTAATAAAACTCACTCAAATAAGAAAAAACATTTTAGTTCACTACATCACTAACAGATAAATGAAATGATGTCGTAAAATTACAATACTATAATGTGTACTGGCAAGAAAACATAAAACAGCCAAATATATATAAATATCCCCACTATCAGATCAGAAGATCAAAAGGTTCACAATAAGTCGAAAAACATGTTTACAAATTAAATACAAAAGTAACAGTCTAAACTTTTGATCTATACAATTCTAAAAAGGGAAAGTAAGGTTTTAGCTTGTCAGTGTCCGACATTACATTTATCGGATTGTCTTGTAACTTGACGTGGAGCATTTCTGAAACTGATCTCTTATAAAAAAATTTTTCCATATCCAAGATTTTAACGTCGTTCTAAATAAAGTCATGACCAGTCTCCAAACAATGCTCCGTAACCACAGAAACAAAATCAGAATTTCTATTAATCTGATTTTTATGTTCGCTAATTCTTGTTTTTAACTTACGCTTCGTTTGTCCAACATAAGATATATTACAATTATTACAATAATTTTGATACACCACATCTTTATTTTGATCATGAGTTAACTTATCCTTTCCAACTTTTATGAATTTACTCAATTTATTCAAACTTCGAAACAACAAAGAAATCTTCTTAGTTTTTTTAAAAAATCTTGAAAAAGAGTCAGACAAATCAAGAAGATAAGGAACAACAAAATATTTTTTACCAGTTTCAAGATCAGAATGACAAACAAATTTATTGTCAATGTTTAAACTTAATCTGTTATAAGTTAAAAATTTAATTCTATTCTTGATTATTTTAAATATAAAATGTAGATTATAATTATTCATAAAGAGCACCTCAATCATAAATTTAAAATTATTCTGTTTGAAGCAAGGGTCAGATAATAGTAAAATTCTATCAACTATATTCAAAACTGTACAAATTTTTTGTGATTGCGGATGGGCCGATTAAAAATTCAAATATCTATTCTGTTTTCAAATATCTATTTTTTTTTTTATCTATTCTTTTTACTTGTGTGACCAAAACGTCTATTTATTAAATAAAGACAACTTTTTATACACGACCAACCTGTATTTTACTGCTCGTATCGGCCGTTTGATTTATTTGATTATTTCACGAGCGATTGATTAATTATAGACTATAATTATAGACTTTGAGTTCTTTAATGTAAGTGTTAGTTCAATTCATGTTATTACTTTTTCAACAAATATCAATAATATATATTATATATTTAAAATTATTAATTAATTGTACACAGTATAAGANAACGTTTTCGAGTTTAGTTTTTTTAGCTTTTGTCTCTCAAAAAAAAAACAAGATCGTAAAAGAGACTAATTNTTGATTATATTTAAATGAGTAATAATTTTTTATTATACTTTGTGAATTATTATTTAANTACTCAATTGGAGATTTAAATACTGTAATTATTTAAATACTGTTACAATTATTTAAAATTATTGNAAATTATTATTTGAATTATTATATAATTAAAATTTGAACAGACTAAACGGTGAGATTAAAAGCTCGATCTATCGATACAAACTAAAAGTAGGAAAGACATAATTGCTAAACTGATTTTTATTCGGATTGCGGTTTGTTTTTACTATGTTTTTTTTCTGCATCTTTTCACAAATACAAAAAAATTTGCTCGCGATCTGTTATAGTTTTAGGGAAAATATCTTGAAACTAATTTTCATTATTGCCGTTTATTCACAGCTATCTCTTGTTGTGAATGAACAACGTAATGAATATGGTATAAAATATTTCAATTTTTGTCCGCTAACAAACTTTTAAGATCTATTTACATAAAACAGACGCGGATAGGAGGTTTTGCGGAATNAACCTAACTGTCACGTTGGTCACTTGGCTAATTTGATCAATGTGATTAACTACTTCCGCGAGATCTGCGATCCGTGTCTGCGTCTTATATAGAATGGTCTTTAGTGTAATCTCGCGCATGCGGAATATTCTATTGTTTTAGTTCGCATCACTGACGCGTGCAGACATGCAAAATCACGCCACAAAAAAAAAAGACAAGCAATAGTCGCCGAATACTACAAATAATCGTGTCTTGTGCTCTTCAGTGGATAGCGAAGAAGACTTTTAGTGTTAAAGTAAGTTAGTTAAGTAAGTTAGATTATAACTATTAGTTTTAAAATATAATATTATATAATTGTATTGGCAGAATACAAATAATGGATAAAAAGCGATCGAGAAAAGACGTTGCATCTGTATCAAACCGACATTTAAAAAGATTGGCTACGCAAGAATCAGAAATTGTTTCTGATGCTTTATTAAGCACGACTGTAACGTCATCATATAATAATGTCAATTATAAATACACAGAACATTTGGAAAATGTCTGTACAATTAATTCAGATATAATACATAATCAAGCTNCTGAGAATGCTGTAACCGAAAATGATATTCTTTACGAGTGGAACAAAAATAATGATTTATTACAATCATCCGTTAGCGACTTCTATAAATCAGAAATTTCTTTCATATCTGAAAATGCAACAGTTAACAATTTTAAAAGTGATCTTGCTGTCTAGGCTGTACAACATCAAATTTCACATACGGCTCTAAGAGCATTGCTTCAGAAACTGAGAAATCATTCGTGTTTTTCATCATTATCTTTAGATGNACGTTCAATTGTAAAAACTCCGAGAAATCAAAAGATACGTATTGTAATACCAGGAACGTACTATCATTTTGGATTACAAAAATCTGTACTGAAAATATTAACTTCTATAAAGAGCAATGTAGATAGTATACAAATAGCTGTTAATATTGATGGTTTACCACTCTCAAAATCGTCACAACAACAATTTTGGCCTATACTTGGTTCAATTCTTCCATATGACAAAGTATTTGCAATCGGAATTTATCATGGAACAGAAAAACCAGCAAATGTCAACGATTTTTTANAAGATTTTGTGAACGAGGCTATAGACATGTGTAAAACTGAAATTTATGTAAATGGTTGTAATATTCAATGCAGAATAGAAGCTTTAATATGTGACACACCAGCAAAAGCGTTCGTTTTATGCGTAAAGGGACATTCCGGATATTCTAGTTGCATATAATGCACTACAGAAGGAGAATATATAGGAAATCGTATATGCTTCTCGCAAATTGATGCGCCACTTAGATCAGATAATGATTTTATTTAAAAGACTGATGACAGGTATCAAATGCCAGATATAACATGTAGCTTACTAAAAATACCTCATTTCAAACCCGTTACAAACGTTCCGCTGGATTACATGCATCTAATATGCTTAGGAATAATGCGTAAATTAATATATTTATGGCTGGATGGAGAACTACATTATCGACTACAATATAGAGCCGTTGAAGAAATATCTATACGTTTAACTCAGGTAAAGCCATCAATACCTATGGAATTTGCCAGAAAGCTTCGAAAACTTGATTGCGTAAAATTATGGAAAGCCACGGAATATCGATTAATACTGTTGTATATGGGTCCAGTAGCTTTTAAATCTTAATCTCTACTTAAAAACAATGTATACATTTATTTTATGACGCTACATGTTATTGTTAGAATATTGTCTTCAAAAAATTCGCATAAACAACTGTCTTATGCACAAGATTTGATTGTTTTTTTTTGTGAAAACATTTATCAAACTTTACGGAAAGCAAAACGTGTCTCACAATGTTCACAGTCTTATACATCTTGTAAACGATGTCAAAAAATTTGGACCACTTGATAACTTCAGTGGGTTCAAGTTTGAAAACTACATGCAAGTGTTAGAAAAATATCTCAGAAAAGCGGAGAAACCTTTAGAACAAGTTGTACGGAGATGTATCGAAAAAGAAATTAATTTAACTACATCATCTACTGTATCGTCGGATTTCATTGATATACATCCAAACTTAACATCGTTACATAACAATCGTCCACTTCTATCCAATTGTAATAATCCACAATATAAAATTATCAAGTTCAACGAAGTTACATTTAAAACTGGGACACTTGCAGATAATTGTTGTGGTTTAAGTTGTGGTTCTATTGTATCTATTGAAAACGTGGCACATTGTAAAAAGCAAAATATTCCTGTTATTATCGGCTACAAAGTTGTGGAAAAAGAAGATTTCTTTAAAGTTCCTTGTTCATCTTCATTGCTTGGAATGTATTCCGTAAAATTTAGCTCAAAGTTGCAATCATGGCCATTAAAAGATGTGAAAAAAAATATGTGAAATTGCCATGCAAAAATAATAAATATGCAATCTTCCCATTACTACACAATGAATATAATTGATTAATATTCATTTATACAGAATGACTGATAAATTTTATGCAATCGTCGAATTTCAAGATGGACTACAAGTAGTACCAAATAATTGGTTAAGTGGAGACTTAACAAAAGCTTTTTGGCCAAACTTTACGAATAATCTACGGTATGATAAAGCGGTCAAATGTATGGAAAAACCAGAATGTACTTGGCAGGAGCATCCCATTCGAAAAATATATGGAACATTTTGTAAGTAATGTAACACACACA